AATTCAATACAACGATATTCGGCACAAAATTACTGCAAAATATTTTCAATTATAAACAAAATGTTAATATTTGTGCAAAATATATATTAAAGAATATTCTTTACATCATATTCTGTTCGCCACATCCATATGGCATTTGCAGTAAATCATCCAAATTATGAACAATGGGTCCCATTATGTCCCCAATGGCTGTCACCCATACTTTCTGAGAGCCGGGAACCGCTATCTTCGGGATAACTATTGAGACATTTTTCGTCAATACATTCGCCGATTCTTTGAGATCCACGAGAACTGATTGATTAAAGTGTTGTGTCTGACCCTCGGGTTTCACCAGTAGTTTCCTGAGCACAGAGTCTCCAGCCATGGCTGAGTTAGCCGTCAGTTTGATGTCAATATACCCCATAATTTTGGGTGTTATCGTGAATGTGACCGAAACGCCATCGTTGGCAGGAATTGACACCAATTGTCTCATTTCAGAGACATTCACGCCTTTTATGTCCAATTGATCGCTAAATTCAAACTCTTGCTTCTTGTTATCAAATACTACTTCCGATTCAATTGGTTTTGTGGTGTAATTGAAGACAATGGCCTCAATGGCTACCGTTTCGTCTCTTATTATAGAGTAAGGCAGCGATAGTTTGATGAAAAACGGTCGGAAAACTGTGACCTAAGGTTTTAGGTTTAATTGTTTTACATATGACTTGTTTTTGGGTAACCCTAATACCATACCTTCGTAGGTGTGGGTGAAATGCCCAGACCAGTCTCCATATGCATAGCGAATGCGCTGATGAACCACGAGGTGATTGTGTCGGGGATTGTGCTCTTGATAACAGCGCAACCATTACTCCTAAAGAATTCAATTTATTATTATAATTACTAATTTCAGTATAATTATTAATTTATAATTATTTAATAATATAGCAAAGTTTGATTTTTAAAATATTTATTCGAAAGTACCCTGTTTGCATTGAGGTCCATAACCAAGTTTCGGGAAAATGTTTTCTAGTTTCAACAATAGTGGTCATATTGGTTTGAATACTTTGGGGAGAAGCTTGGGGTATGCGATCCAACTGTGCTGATTGTGATCCTACCTTGCTGACCATTTCTACGGCCATCATTCTCAACTCATTGATTTTGGGTGACAGTGATCTAGATCTTAAGACTAAAATACAATAAAATTTGTACACAATCTCAATTATAGACTTTTACGTTTTATAATTATAAACTAGGACTAAACTCACCATCGTCTATATCGGGTTTATAAGGGAGACCATTAGATATGACCACAACACCCGACAAATTGAATAGTTTTTGTGCAGTGGATGTGAAGCCATCCCAATAATTGTCTGTAAATGTTGTGTCGTATGTCTGCAACTCTTGGATCACGGCTTCGCGAGTCATATCATTACCTGATTTCAGCAAAAGTACGCTCTGATCGACACCTACTATACCCACCCACGCGTCCGGCTTTGTATTCACTCTCACAGCTACCTGTGCTCCCGGCTCTGCCTCCTTAAGGTCAGTGTCGATCGACACGTCAGTTCTGAACAGTCCGTCCACTTCGAAGTCGATGGCGTCGGCCACCACTTCTTCATTGTCTTCTCTCACATAATAACATAAAATCCTTGCTTTCGGTGCCATTCTGTGGACAGCCATCACAGAGAACTCGTGTGAACTACTGTTCCCCGGAATGTCGAGACTGTGTGTCATCACGATATCTCCTCCTCCTATCACTTCATACACAATGCGTGTGAGGGGTTCTGTAGCCGTGACACAGAATTTGACCTCATGTCCAACCCTTACATCCATGACATCACATCTCTCCACTTGGATGTAGTTCCCGGTCGGGGACTCAGCACTATAGATGTTGTGTGAGTAGACGTATAGCATATAAGTGCTATTAAATCGTAAAACTTTTGCGTCTTTAGGCGGATATATCTCAGCCCTAATGAGTCCATGGATTGGCTGTAAGATCAGACTTTCAGTTAATTCAAGAAGTGTGAGTAGACGTATAGCATATAAGTGCTATTAAATCGTAAAACTTTTGCGTCTTTAGGCGGATATATCTCAGCCCTAATGAGTCCATGGAAACCGACATTCTAGTCTGAAAGTCAATTAAGTTCTAAAAAAAATACTATCCTTATCGGCATAAAGTCACAGTGACCTCCCGGCAATAGTAGTTGCCCTCACAGCAGGCCTACTTGGTGAAATTTATCGGCCGTGTATTTGAGTCCCGGTTTAAAGTGGCTTTTGTTGATGGCCTCCACTTTATAGTCTTTATCATAGAGTCTCAATGAATTGCATTTTGTATACTCCTTTCCGGTCACAGCCTCCCTGACCACTGCCGTGAATTCAACGTCTATGTCATATCGATATCTTTGCTGATCTATATCTAAATCTTTCACAACATTGATGGGAATATCAACACATCCATTGATTACAGTCTTTGTCCGCAACTTTAAGTCTAATAATGACATTACAGTACATTATAATATAATTTGTTAATAATTGTTATACTATTGTATATAAAAGAAGTTGAAACAAATTAATATTGAAATTAATAAATACGTTCATATTTTGCTTCTACAGTGAGAGTGAGGTCTCCCTTAACTGGCTGTCCGTACGTATAATGGGCTGTGACTGTGGCGACCGCATCGGGCTTATTAAAGGTGGCAAAGGGTGGCAGTAATACCTGCACCTCAAACGTGGGCAACATATACTCGGCCACTTCAAAATTCCTTTGAAATGTCTGTCCATTAATGTCCACAGTTATGGCCCAATTGCCTAAAACTGGTTGTTCTGACAGTTGGAGTTCCCGAGAGACCACACCATTCGTGACCAACACTTGAGTCCATTGTTTGATACAATTTCTGTTTTCGTCCTTTCGGTCAAAATTTATTAATTTATTGAAATGTATTCAAAATATAGTGGAAATTAATGTCAAAAAACGAGACATACTTTGATGTATATGTCAACCAATGTGTTGACTTTGGGTACCAGTGAAGGGTCGACCACAATGGCTCTGAACTGAACCAACTGACCAGGTTTATATATGGGTTTATCAGTTTGAATGAAAACTAATGTCTTGGTAGGTTTAAACACAAGTGCCCTGTGTCTATCAAGTATAGATGCACTCGTTGACCCAAAAAGCGGTTTGAATGGCACAGTTATCCCGCTACCAATGTCCACGGCTAGTGTGTAGTCCCCAATTGACCAGTCGCCGATCTCTAGGCTAAGTGTTTTGGTATCCGGCTTTGTATTCACTCTCACAGCTACCTGTGCTCCCGGCTCTGCCTCCTTAAGGTCGGTGTCGATCGACACGTCAGTTCTGAACAGTCCGTCCACTTCAAAGTCCATGGCGTCGGCCACCACTTCCTCGTTGTCTTCTCTCACATAATAACATAAAATCCTTGCTTTCGGTGCCATTCTGTGGACAGCCATCACAGAGAACTCATATGAACTACTGTTCCCCGGAATGTCGAGACTGTGTGTCATCACGATATCTCCTCCTCCTATCACTTCATACACAATGCGTGTGAGGGGTTCGGTAGCCGTGACACGGAATTTGATCTCATGTCCAACCCTTACATCCATGACATCACATCTCTCCACTTGGATGTAGTTCCCGGTCGGGGACTCAGCACTATAGATGTCGTGTGAGTAGACGTATAGCATATAAGTGCTATTAAATCGTAAAACTTTTGCGTCTTTAGGCGGATATATCTCAGCCCTAATGAGTCCATGGATTGGCTGTAAGATCAGACTTTCAGTTAATTCAAGATTTTTTTTATGATAGGAATAGCCGTATTTCAGTGTCACTGGAGGGCNTTGGCTGTAAGATCAGACTTTCAGTTAATTCAAGATTTTTTTTATGATAGGAATAGCCGTATTTCAGTGTCACTGGAGGGCCGTTATCATCAACGGGAGTGTCGTCCGGATGAACCACTTTAAATAGAGCCGTGTATTTGAGTCCCGGCTTAAAGTGGCTTTTGTTGGTGGCCTCCACTTTATAGTCTTTATCATAGAGTCTCAATGAATTGCATTTTGTATACTCCTTTCCGGTCACTCCCTCCCTGACCACTGCCGTGAATTCAATGTCAACGCCATATCGATATTTTTGCTGATCTATATCTATATCTAAATCTTTCACAATATTGATGGGAATGTCAACACTTCCATTGATTATAGTCTTTGTCCGCAACTTTGAGTCTAATAATGACATTCAGTATAATATTATTTGTTAATAGTTTTTATACTATTTTAAAAGTATTTCAAACAAATTAATACTGAAATTAATAAATACCTGCAAGTGCCATTCTGTGGACAGCCATCACAGAGAACTCGTGTGAACTACTGTTCCCCGGAATGTCGAGACTGTGTGTCAGCACAATATCTCCTCCTCCTATCACTTCATACACAATACGTGTGAGGGGTTCTGTAGCCGTGACACAGAATTTGACCTCATGGCCAACCCTTACATCCATGAAATCACACCTCTCCACTTGGATGTAGTTCCCGGTCGGGGACTCAGCCCTTAAGATGTTGTAGTGTAAGTAGACGTATAGCATATAAGTGCTATTAAATCTTAAAACTTTTGCGTCTTTAGGCGGATATATCTCAGCCCTAATGAGTCCATGGATTGGCTGTAAGATCAGACTTTCAGTGAATTCAAGCGGTTTGTTATGATAAGAATAGCCGTATTTGAGTGTCACTGGAGGGCCGTTATCATCCACGGGAATGTCGTCCGGATGAACCACTTTAAATAGGGCCGTGTATTTGAGTCCCGGCTTAAAGTGGCTTTTGTTGGTGGCCTCCACTTTATAGTCTTTATCATAGAGTCTCAATGAATTGCATTTTGTATACTCCTTTCCGGTCACTCCCTCCCTGACCACTGCCGTGAAGTCAATATCTACATCATATCGATATTTTTGTGATCTATATCTAAATCACTATCACTATCACTATCAATATCTAAATCTATATCTAAATCTTTCACAATATTGATGGGAATGTCAACACTTCCATTGATTATAGTCTTTGTCCGCAACTTTGAGTCTAATAATGACATTCAGTATAATATTATTTGTTAATAGTTTTTATACTATTTTAAAAGTATTTCAAACAAATTAATACTGAAATTAATAAATACCTGCATTTTTCGTTTGAACAGTGAGAGTGAGGTCTCCCTTAACTGGCTGTCCGTACGTATAATGGGCTGTGACTGTGGCGACCACATCGGGCTTATTATAAGTGGCAAAGGGTGGCAGTAATACCTGCACCTCAAACGTGGGCAACACATACTCGGCCACTTCAAAGTTCCTCTGAAATGTCTGTCCCTTAATGTCCACAATTATTGCCCAATTGCCTAAAACTGGTTTTTCTGACAGTTGGAGTTCCCGAGAGACCACACCATTCTTGACCCACACTTGAGTCCATTGTTTGATGCGATTTCTGTTTTCGTCCTTTCGGTCAAAATTAATTTAAATTAATTTATTTATTGAAATGTATTCAAAATATAGTGGAAATTAATGTAAAAAACGAGACATACTTTGATGTATATGTCAACCAATGGGTTGACTTTGGGTACCAGTGAAGGGTCGACCACAATGGCTCTGAACTGAACCAATTGACCAGGTTTATATACGGGTTTATCAGTTTGAATGAAAACTAATGTCTTGGTAGGTTTAAGCACAAGTGCCCTGTGTCTATCAAGTATAGATGCGCTCGTTGACCCAACAAGCGGTTTGAATGGCACAGTTATCCTGTTACCAACGTCCACTTCTAGTGTGTAGTCCCCAATAGACCAGTCGCCGATCTCTAGGCTAAGTGTTTTGGTATCGGATTTATCGAAGTTTACTGACCCACTGGCGCTGTTATCTGTACTTCCCATGACTCTCACATCTACTTGTAAAGGACGACTTACCCGATACACCGATACGCTGATGTGGTACCGGGTGTTTGGGCTCAAATGCTTGGGCGCCACCACTATATAAATAGGTGTTTCAGTGGTAGTCATTGTTTTCAGTCGCCTCAATACATTCATGAAATACACGGTAGGCTTAACTGATAATTGGTAGTAAGAGTAGGGTAAAATTACATAGCTTTGTTTAATCACTTAAAATGAATCTGTGTCCAGGTCAAATTATTTGAGTTTTATTAGTAAACGTTCAAAAGCGACTGAATTTATTGAATTTGTTTTGACATTTGACTATTAAATGCTTTTGTAGTACTGTATGATTCATATGCAGTATTACTATATTTAAATATAAATGTTGCAAAGATTTGTTGTGCCTACAGGTGAGATCGAAACTGTAGCTAGGTGTATCACCAAATACATAATAATTAGTTTATACGAAAGTAATGCAAAAATAAAATAGTCAATATTATAATGTAATATAAAATAAATTAATTATTTGTAGTTTTATTTTTTAAAATTAATAATTTTGATTCACTTTAGACATAATCATTATGTTTAAGTAAATAGTGTTTAATTTTATTTTTTTGAAATATCTAATACTGTTATATTTAAAATAGTGGTGTATTTTATAAATTTTATAAATTAAAATATAATTTATAATTTACTTACAATATTATTATATAAATAATTTTAATTTACAATATTTCACAAAATAATTGATGTAATCTATAAAATAATTTAACAATTTATATATTATTTATAATCGCAACAAA